CGAATGCCATTGTCTCTTATTACATTTTTAATCAATTAATAATTTGCTATAAAGTTACACTAACAACAATAAACACACTTAATCATTTAAAATAACTGAGTTATATTCACACAATGGTTTTTACGTATTCTCTTTAAAAAATATTAACCTACTATTAATCAACACAATTAAGTCTTTTTATCATAATATAAAAATAGTTCGAATTCAGGAAAAGAACAAATATTATGATCATATTGTTTTTCAAGATAAAATAATATTATAAAAAAAATTAAATTACAAAAAAATCTGCTTATACGTTGATAACGTTCCTTAAATAATGTCATCTATATATGATTCATCCATAATCCACAAGACTATGAAAATAATATTTATTTTCTAAAATTTAGGCTTTATCAAACGAAACTACTAATAAATACAAAATTAACTACCATACCATTTTAATTAATAAATCACAATTAGATTAAAAATATATATATGTAATCATGATCTTAAAAAACAAAAAGATAATGAGATATTGATTAAGATATATTTTAAAAAAATATTTGGATATAGGTAAACCTAATTATCTTAAACAAAAGTATTGTTTATATTCGTGATATTGTACATGGTGAGACATTAGAAATTATAAATAATATTAATTGATTAAAAATTTCTCTTAACATAATTTATATATTATATACATACGTGTTTGGGGTAAAGTTTGTCAAATTCATATTTCTATCCTAATATTTATTTTAAGATCTTATCCCTTATATATTATTTGGGAAGTGATTTGTGAGAGTATGCTTATGTGTCATCTCCACATTCACTCTTCCAAATAAAATATAACATGGGTAGAAAGAATTATGACATGTCAAGAGACTAATTATTTTTTATCTTTTAAAGTTTTGATTGTCGTGGAAAAATCTTTGCAAATATTTATTTATGGAAATTTAAAAAAAAAATACGGATCAATTTTAACTTAAACAAATTTTAAAAAACATTTGGCCACAAAAAAAGAACAAAAGAC